AGTACTTATTTAGCCCTCAACGACCACAGGGCACACCGATGTTACAGTAAACAATTAATTTCTTAGAAATTTACCTGGAGGAGATTTGAACCATCAGGAAAGTTGTAGATTAGGTTTTGAATAAATTAGTGGAAAGATGGTAAAAAAAGAACTGTATAGAACATGTAGAAATTTTAGATTTGGATTTGAAAATAATGATGAAATGAATAACAATCATAGGAAAAGCTACAATATTAACATATATTAAAAAGAACCAATAGAGTTTTTTTTTTAATTTAAATTATGAAATTTTAATTTTTTTTATATGAAATTACATAGACACCAACAAAATACAAAGGCTAATTGGCAATAAACGGAACACTTATTTATTTAACCTTTAACATATTCACAACAATTAGAAGATACATAATTGTTTAATAAACTTCTGTATAGCTATTTGGGTAGTAGACATAATAAAATGGAGGCATATATAAATAACAATAACAATTTGGTCATTGCCTTCTAAGATATAAATGATGGATGTCTCATAAATTCAATTTTGAATAAACATATTAATTGTAGTATTAAATATGATGTTGAACATTGAACATAACTGTTTTGACCAAATGTCTCAATGATAAGAATAGAAAACTGAAACATTTAACGGAAACAGCAATTATTGCTTAGCAAAAAAATATAGTTATAGTCTTACATGCTCTGTTAGTTCTAATGATTATTGTGTATTGTTGCAATCATGTGTGCTATTGAAAATCTTTTCTCTGCTACTTTTTGTATCACTTAAAATATCTTTATTTTCAATATAAAGATTGCTCTTTATATTGAATTTTAATCAAATTTAATTTAATTTTACAATTATCTGCTAATTTTTATAATTAATTTAAATTTTATTTGTAATTTAATTGTTTTTTAATTGTTTGTATAACTGCCAAATAATGGCGTAAAATTATCAAAAATCAAAATCTTTTATTTCAAAGTTTAAACAATGTGCAAAAATAGCAGAACTTTATTTATACATAAACATGTGCAAGGGAATGTTCTATTGTAGCTAAAAAATGTTAGCATTTTAGAATTTGAAATTTAAATACATAAACATGTTTACAATTACTGTTGTTTTTTGCAAAATCATTTTAAGACATAAATTCTTTATAATATATAGAATTTATGTGTAATGTTTAGTTAAATTTCCTTCCACTTAAAAATATTTTACTTTTCCTAGATCTTTCTAATAATGACTAAATTGTTAGGATGTAATAAACAAGATTGGCCTTAGGGATCCGGAAGATATGTTATGAATGGCTGCTAAAAATAGGATAGGTTCCTTGGCCTAATGAAATGATGATCCACAATTTTTAGTTCCCTAGTAGGATTCAATTCTTTATTCTTAACTGTAAAATATTTTTGTTTATATTTTCTTATAGAGATTCCTTCCATGTATTAGTAGATTTTGTTGATATTTAATGTTTCAGAAGTCACATATTTAATAATATCATTATAAAAGTATTCAGTTATAAAATGTAAAGTAAAGCATAATCCAATGAAGATTAAGAACTTCAGAAAAAAAAACTATTATTAGGGAAAATAAACTTAATAATGATTAATATAGTTATTTAAGGCAATCTTTGTCATGTTTATACACAATCATGATGTATTTACAAATCGTCATAAGATAAGAAATTTTTTAAATATCTCAATTTCAAAAGGTAAATATTCGGTAAATCAAGTAAAAAAGTCTTAGTAAAGTCTAACAACAGTTTTTGTAAATCATATTATTCAGAATATATAATTTATTAACAGATAAAAACGGCCGATCAACAACACTTTCTAAATATCCGATCATAGACCAAGTTACAAAATGAAATAAAATTGTATTATTATAGTTTATAATATTTATTATAAAAAAGAAAGTCTAGAATATTCACTTACAACAAATAAATAAAACCGTTACCTTTTAAAAAACCACAGCAGAGGCAGGTTTCAAGGAACAAAGTAGGTTGATGTTATGAATTTTCTACAGTAAAAATACACGTGCAATGTCACATAATAACGTATGTATAACAAGAATCACTACAAATATATAACAATTACTGTTAATATCCAACAACAAACGCTTTATCTTTAATTAAATCGAAAATTATTAAAACCGTAGGCAAATAAATTCCACAACACGTTACGCGACGCAACCATCGTTCGTTTTTCTTGTTTTGCAAATTATTAGACAGATGTCAAATTATGCTTCATTGCAGCTGACATTTTATTTATTGTATTATTATAACGGTAACTATTTACTGTTTATATTAATAAATTATTATAAGATAATATATTAATCACAAAAGATGAATTGATATATAATTAGGATTAAACATTACATATTTAAGATATATATATCAAGTAGTAAATAATGGGAAAAAATTTAACTTTTTGTTCCGCCAGATGTCAAGTTCACTATAGCCCTTAGTATATAGTAAAGCTCTATTTAATATAGCGAGAGAGCGTATAATGCGTTTTTTTTTCATTTAATTTTAAATTTAATTAAAATGACAAATTGTGCAATGCAAGGACGCAAAGAAAATGGATTTCATTTGTTTTCAAAACACAAAAACTGAAGAAATTGTGGGCTAAAGCAATAAGACGACCAAAATTGGCGAAATCGCAATCTTTATATTTTAAGCTATGTGGAGATCATTATAAGAAAGTAATTTGAAACTCTTAAATTGTCTACAGGTGACTATTTTTTTTGTACTTTTTTACATACTAGTTATAGTTTCATAGAAACTTTCATCCTCTATTTTACCCACTTGGGTGATGAATTTCGGAAAATTCTTTTTCATCGGATGTCTACATCATATAAGGAACACATCCTTTAAATTCTACGTTTCTATGACTAGCGGGTTTGGCTGTGTATTGATCCATCAGTGATTCAGGGCCACCACAGGATGCACTGGATGCTCAATTCTTCCTTCCGCTGGTCTAATTTCCAAGTACAATACATTGTACAGGTAGATGCAAACACAATAGAAGTAAAACCAGGTTAAAATAAATATTAAAATAAATTAAATACCTCAGTATATGTAAATAGGCCATACGTATAGCGCCCTTCTATCGAGAAATCTTCCCCATTATAGCATTTTTTTACACTTCTTTTAAACTAACAAGTAGCAACATTAGCCCAGCCATTTTCTTTTGCTCTTCTCGATGTTTATGGTCAGGGCTACCGGCCAGGGCCGAGTGCCGACCGAGTTCATGTAATATTTTGTGATGTAGGTACATATCTCCTGTCTAATGAAGGTCCGGCCCCCAGACCAGGAACAAGACATCATATCATCTATTTCATCGTCATGAGGGTCATAATTAAATGGCCCGTAGATGTAATTTCTCACTCCATTAATACAATCACAATTTACGCACTCATTTAAAGTTTTTATTACTATTTACTATACTTGTATAGATAAGCACAATAGCGTAGTGTTGTGGGCCAACTTAGAAAATTTACCCTATATTTGGGGAAAACCATGCGTTCCTTGTTGACTGTTGTTCTTGGTCGGTCATCCTGGGCTGCCAGTCTCAGATCGTATAATTGTTTACAAGAAGTGTATAATTTGGTTGTCATATGTATCCAGTGTGTATAGCAGATTGCCTTGTATAATTGAATATAACAATAAAAAAAGTGAAGTAAACTTTGTGAGAAAAAAAAACTTATTTTTGTTAATAATCTAACAATATTATAATTTATGAAAGTGTATTTAAACAAAATAAAAATAATTTATTTTAAAATCATAAATCGATTAACAAAAACGTAGAACTCGATTTAAGATATAATTAAATTTTTTAATCTGTTATATTGTGATTTGTGCATAGAGTATATTGCTACATATATAAAGATTTGTGATATTGTTTAACGTTTTTCGCTGGTGTCGTACAATAAGTTATTAATTTTTAAGTAAGTACCTAAAATGAGACAAAGGTGTATGTATGAATTTATTTTTTAAAGGGTACTGTGCAATTTCGTTATCCATTTTAAATTATTATCACATACTATAAGTCAAGAATTTTATTGATTTGTAAAATTAGATTTGATTTTGTATAATTTCAGTATAATTCAACGGTATAAAATAACTCTGGCAGCCCTGGCCTGGCCCCTTCTGCATCAATGTGATGCAGAAAACTTTTACACTAGTTTGGTCTGAAATTTCACCAGATTTAGGGATATTTTTCTCTAAATAAATCACCAGAATTCACTAAATAATTTTTAATGAAATCACAAGGTAAGTCAAAAAATTATAGTTTAATTGTGATAAATAGAAAAATATACATGACAAAACTAAAAAATCAACTTCAAATACTTCTGCTGATATTTCTTCATCTTCTTCATCTTGATTGATTATTATTGCAGATGTAGACGGCTGAGCATCAGTTTAGTCGGGACTTTTTGATTTAGAAAAGTATTTAGAAATGCTTCCAAGTTCCAATAGCAGTAATTACACCAGCCGGGAGCTCTTAACAGAAACAGTTTTTCTTCATTATCTTTAACTGATTTCTAATAAAAAGAATGCTAATATGAGTGTTTACAGCCATTTTGTTTCTTAATTTGTTTTTCACGATATTCATAGTACTAAATGCCCTTTCCACTTCAGCAAATAGGTAGGTAATTTTTACTCGTTGGTGTATATTTTACTTTAACCTGGATCCAAAATACAACATTCGGAAATATCACTAAAAGTCATCAAATAATTTTTCAGTGCTTTTTTTTTCAGAATATCACTGTCTAATTCCTAAAATTCATTAAATCTAGTGAGAAAATCACTAAGGTGGCAACACTGTTCTGCATAGAGTATATTGCTACACATAAAAAATTAAAAATCTTAAATCTCCCTTCTGTCATCTCTGTGGTTTAGGTAGTGGCGTGTTTTATAGGTTATTTGTGATTTATTTAATAAAACAGTGAAATTAATCGTGAATTAGTTATTAAATTTTGCTTAAATATTAAATTCCAGGTGTACAATATGCAGAACGACGCTGGTGAATTCGTAGACTTGTATTGCCCGAGGAAATGGTGAGTGTTTTACAACGTGCATGGTTAGGCTTCTAACAAACCTTGTCTACTTCCAACAGTTAACTTATTACATTTTTAAACAACAACCTATAAAACATAATCCATTTAGATTCTAAATAAACTGAATATAATAGAAATATTAGTTCTCTTATATTCTTCAATTTCGATGTTGAATGATCTAACTTTAAGTCTTTATAACGTTTGACTCTTTCGTTTCCTCAAAATAATTTTTATATATTTGAACTCCCTATCAGCTCCTCTATCCATAAATACCACCTATTTCTCCAGGGGCCGCGTCCCATATACTAAACTTGTGCCGAAATGCCTGCTTATCTTACAGTATCCGTACATAACAATTTCAGCTCGGCCAGCAACCGTCTGATCCACGCTAAGGACCACGCGTCCGTACAGCTTGTGATCGCCGACGTGGATCCCGCCACGGGCCGCGCCGCAGACTCCAGCAAAATGTATGTGATCTGCGGAGCCATCAGACGTATGGGTGAATCAGACGATTGCATCGTCAGACTCACTAAAAAAGATGGCATCTTAACTAAGTAAGTAATCATTTTATTGTTTGTTTATGTCCATACTCAGAACTAAATATGTAAATATTAAAATTTATAACATCTATACTGACTATGTATAAATGTTTGTTCAGACATTTAATTCTGCCATTGTAAATATTGACAAAAACTTTAAAAAATATATATAATAAACCAACTCCAAAAAAAGAAAACACAAAAAAGTAAATAATAGCTGATTGGTAGTTTTCATTAAGAATAGATACCTGATCAGATATTTGTAAAGTAAGTGTGGTTTGATTTGTATTGGCTGGCATGGAGTTATGCCCTAACATATATAAAAAAATTATAAACATCTGAATTGAGAACCTCCTCCTTTGAATTTGGTTAAAAACAGATAAAGTTAAAGTTAAAAAACAGGAAATTACATATATTACGTTATTTTGAAATTTGTCCCTTAAAGGGGTAAAAGGGGGTGATAAAATTTATATGGGAAATAAGTAAAAAAAATATGTGTATATGTTTATATCCCCTAAAGGTTCGAATATGCCTAATATATTATATGAACGAATTTCAGAACCTCACTTTTTTTTCGTTGTTCACTTCATGTGAAATGCCCCAAGTGTTTGTATTTTCGTTGATATTGCAATGATTCGATATCGTCGCTAATAGTAGATATTTTCAGTTTGGGCTTATTTTGTTGGACTTGTCCTTATGTATATTTGCAAAGCGAGAATGAGCCGTTAGTATTATAATAATTCTGAAACAAAAACAACCTATTTTGGTCTAAATAAAGCACTAAAAGTTCTTAAATATAGATATTAATTGAATAACTTTATATTTATTTATTTTTTTTGTTTCAGAAACTACTGATGTAGTTGTAAGAAGCTTCATTTATAAGAAAAAAACAATAAAAATGTAAAAATCAATGTGTTTTATTATTTATTTATAGTTATAGTAACATACTTCAAGTCTATGTGTCTTGACTCCTGACTGGAGGTTACATTGGATATGTAAAAAATTTAAAATTAAAAAAAGTTCCTTTTAAGCCATGGTAATACAGTATTCCATCTTCATACAAACGGTCGGAAATCAAGTTGTGCCTACGCGCCTCGGCCCTCGAGTTCGGTATGCACTCGGTAGCCAACCTAGCGGGGCTGCCAGATCGTATGATTGAATACGAAAATTGTATAAGGTCACGGTAATGTTACATAAACATTACTGTGGCAAAGCTTACATCACATTTTAATCCACATATAACATATATTATGTAAAGTGAAAAACATGGAGGTACATAATACATAAGCTGCATTCCAGATATATTTGTGGGTCTATTTAATTGATAATAGTGAAAGAGTTTGATAAATGTATGATTTACGTACGTTTCATAATAAACTTTTGGCATCGAATTCTATACATTTACTATTTGTATAGGAAATATGTACTTCACGATAAAGATGAATCAAACTGAATTGCTGTCAATATGTCGTATTTATATACGTATAATGGACTTGTTTTTTTCTACATATCTCGATGGAATTTTGTACATCTCACATATAAAATTATTTGTTAATAATTATTTTACGATTGTGACTTACGATGTTGAGTGTACGTCGAAGCCCAATAGATGGCGTTAGGGTCTGAATAGTGCTATGGATTGGTTCATTAAAAGTTTACATAGATGCGCAATGGATGGCTTTACGGTCTATGTGAATAGGTATGGTTTAATTCACAAGATAAGCCTATAGGTTTTTTTTGAATAATTATGAAGCTCAGGAATATCGAGTGCTTCATTTATTTCAAGTGATTCATTTATTCCAGATTACACTACTGGATGGGATGGATATCCCTAAACATTTTTGGGGCACATACATGCAATATAATATACCTACTGATAACAATGACCGACAGCTGATTGTTATAATTATCCGTATTCATCGTCTACATTATACTAATATTACCCGGACATTTAGCTCTTATATTGTATACGTACTAAAAACGTTTTACAAACGTCTATGGCAACGTCATTTTTATGTTTAATATACGTCATGATTCTATCTGAGATTATACTATAAACCTTCGTCTACTTGTTCTCATCTTTCGTTTTTTACGCATTACGGTTCCTTTTATTGTTTTTTAAGCTATTGCATAGCTTCTATCGCGGGCCTTGAGCGTGGGGACCGAATCCAGAAATTCCGTAACGAAAAAAACCTGACACCCTCCACTCCGACCGGCACAGCGGTGATACTTCCATCTATCGATAAATACCAGAACTTTTAATGACTTTTTGAAATATCACGCTTGTCTCTTTAGTTCAGCAACCCGCCTTTAGGTGGCATTGGTTGTATTGGAAAACCACCGTAATCAGCTGTTTGTGAGAAAGTTTATTTTTATGAGCTAGTGCCATCTTGTATAAAAACTACGAACTAGCTGTCTTACGCTACTTTTATTCACAGCTATAAGAATATGGTCACTAGATGGCGCAACAAAACAAAATAGTAGTTTGATATTTATGTTTTAAGTCACGTTTGACGACACGCTTGGCTCAGTTTGTAGTGACCCTATTTTCTGTGCTAGCGGTCGCGGGTTCGAGTCCCGCTGGGGGCATTCATTTGTGTGTTGTCGAATGTTTGTACTCCAGTCACGGGTGTTTATATTTATAATATGTATGTATTTAAAGTTATATATGTGTAGTGTATCAACTATCTGGTATCCATAACACAGGCCTCGTAGCTTACCATGGAACTAGATGGCGTGAAATACTAATAAAATAAATAATTATAATTGCATAAGTTGATAAAAAATGCTATGCAATGGCTTTACCGCGGCAGTCTCCGAGTGCCACATTTAATTTATTTTTTATTTTTTTAGAGATATGCAATGCCCATTTACTAACCACTTGATAAATCCACCTTGTTTAATTGTCCTCACTAATTCAACGCTGAACCACACTATAAAAATCTATACACTGATCCATGTCCCTTGATTTCTACAGAATTGCTGTTAAATGGGAGAGTTATCAAAAATATTTTATGACAACAGTTGAACATTAAATTCATTAAATAAAGAATTGATTTGACAACCATACAATTTAACAGGGTTTCCAGCTGTCTGCGCCAGATTTTCCTATCGTCCACCTCGTTGCCTTTAACATAGAGTGTTTTATCATATAACTTATAAGTAGGTAAATAAAAGATCATATTAACTGAAAACATTTTATTTGATCGTAACTTTTTTCATATAAATAACGCTCTTTTAAACCGTAACTGGAAGCCTCTACATAAAAGTAAGTAGTTTTTATATAACAATAGGGTAAAATACAGTGGTAGATAATAATTACACATAAATTAATTACAATAGCTTACAAACAACATATAGGAGTAAACTCTTAAAAGTCGGCAGAGCATTTATTGAGGCAATCGATTTTCACCTAGAAAAGACATGGTTTGATTAGCAAAACATTTATTTATTTATAAAATTTATATACGTATATACAACAAGAAAAATAAAAAAGAAATACCTAAACTCTTCAAACAATCAACTATTTTTAGGCATTAATTGAAAATAATAATTGTAAGTTTAGCAGTAGGATAGTATTACTGAAGAGTTGATTTGTCCACAATGCTAATAAATTAAGTGAACGACACTTAAAGTGATTTTCCACAGATACAAACTTATTTGAGCCTACGCACTTGCAGCTCATTGTTTTCTTCTTAAAAAGAGTATATTTTTATTTCAAAATTGTTTAATTTTTTTTTGACTGATTACTTTACCTACATGTATTTATGTATTTAATATTAAATTAAAACCAGGATCTACAAAATAAATATATAGGTACATAAGGGTATTTTAATGTTTTAGTAGCATCATTGACAATAAGCGAAATTTTTTAACATAAATATATAAGAAGTAATTATTTAGATTTAAAATAAAGAAAGACAAATAACATCCGTTTGGGCGAATAAAATAATGATAATTTTAAAGTTTATCTACAAAATGAATCATTGTTGCTTTGTAAAATTATGACAAACACGTTTTATTTAAATATATTGTAAAGTATAATTTTAAGGTCTATCTTTGCACACAATAATAAGCTATTGATCAAGATATTTTTTATAATTTCGTTTTAAATTGCTTGGCCCAAGCCGAATAAAATTTATCTTTTAAATTATGATTGCATATAAATAAAATCTAAAAACACAACGATATATTAAAAATAATTAACATGCAAACACATAGCTATGTCACTCATGCAAGACAGCTAATTTTACGATGGTAAATTAATTTTTAAAACTGTCTGTGTTCGTATTGGCACACATAATTTTTAAAGTTTTTTTTTTAAATAAAAAAAAGATGAAAGGTAAAATATAACATCACAGTTAAAATATCCAATTAGGCACTAAAATTTTAATTTAGAAATAATTTTAGACATAGTCAAATCGTTTCCTTATAATATAATAGAGCATTGAATAAAATTTTTAATATGTAACCTAATAAATATATTTTTTTATATACCGTGTGCCTGTAATTTATGATATTATAAAAAAAAGTATGGTTCGAATACTCAGTGTTATTACATGATAGCGTGTAACATCAAATAATTAGCATAGCAATGATCGTGATCATTGCCAACAGTAAGCCGAGCAGCGTCAGCCAATCCAGATCTGCCAGGTGTTGCGAGAACATTAACGTGTAGGAACAAGCTAACATCAACGTGCCAGAGTCGTGCCAATTGCGCTTTGACTTCGTATTATCGCCTGTCAAAATAACAAACACATCGCAAACTATAAAAATAAATTATATCTACTTTCCAAATTAAATAGTTAAATCAGCCATTCGATATGAACAAACAAACGGACAAACGAGCGGGGTGCAAATGATCAGAGTGATATCCAAACACCGTGCATGATAAGAGACCACGTACCTTTATTTTCGTTTTGTGAATTATTTTGCCTTTTAGCTCTCCAAGGGACTACTGTGCTTGGCAGTGAATTACTTTGACTAGAGCTCTCGTCAACTGAAAGCCTTCTCAAGTGCTGATTCATAGATTTTACAATTTTTGGCGAGTTCAAATCATTTCGTTCCTCTTTACCATTATTTTTAATTTCATTATTACATTTATTCGTATCACTGTAATCAAGTTTAAATATTGTTGCCAATTCTTCAGATGAATTGTATTCTGTAGAGTCAGCTGCTTCCTTTTTATTATCAAGATCGTTTTCATATATAGACAGACTAGCGGAATGTCTACCAGATACAGCATTGTTTGTATTACTTTGTACCCTTTGTACCTCTTCTTTACATGGCGATCTCATTGGAACATTGCTAGAAGCGGTCATTTGATCACATTTAGTACTCTTGGGAACGAATAATTTCTCATTAACTTCTGCAATTCCAGCTATCAAATCAGATATTCCGTCTTTCAACTCTCTAAAAGCTTTCATTTCATTAATTTCTTTGACTTTATCATCAGTGTTTAAAAATGGATTAAGCGGATGAAATCGTGGTGCAGAGTCATTTGGCTGGACTTCGATTATATTATTACTTTGTGGTATTTCTGATATGATATCTGGTGTAGTATTATTATCCTCAACATCTACAATGGGAGTATCGAATTTTTTCAATAAAACCGCAGGGTTTTCTAAATTGTTACTTGGCTTAGGACTATTCTCGACTAATTTCAGTTCCTTTTCAAAATTATGTTTTAATTGGTCTTCAACTTTATGCAGCTGATCAGAAATTACCAATAAACTATCTTCAGTTTTCTTAGCTTTAGAATTTTCATTATTGGTCGCTTTATTCTTTTCTACCAGACTATGAACGGTTGGTTCTGAATTTTCATCATGATTTAATTTAGTCAGAGCACTGTCAAAGGGTTTTTCAGTTAAGCCATTTAAAAAATTCGTTCTGCTATCAGATATTCTATCTTGAATATCCGATACTTCGTTTTTATTTCGATTTTTGTCTAGTTCAGCTAAAGCAACGCCTAGTTTGTTACTTGTATCCATAGCCTCTTGTGCTAGCATACTAAGAACCTGTTGAAATTCATCTTTTGATGACCGTTTAGATGCTTGTGGTGATCGGTTTGATGGAGATGAACTTTTGGATTTATCACATGAGGATGGTTTAGCAATACATGTATCGTCACTATGAATGAATGAATCATCTTTTGCAAAATGATGTGAAAGTGTAGATGTGCTATTGGCAAATAAGTTGACAGTATTATGTCGCTGCTTTACCTTATTTCGAGGATACAGCTCCTTTTGGTTGTCATTTTTCTCGAAAGTTTCACGAAGTCGTTTCATGACATCACTGTTACTGTGGGTTTTTTGTATTGGTGGCATTTTACTAAGATTCAAAGCGTCGTCGATTTCTTTTTGTATCATTGAAAATATATTAGCTGAAAGAGATCTAACTGCTCGTTTTTTCTTTAGATTCGTAGTAGAATCTTTATTAAATGGAAACTCGGCATAACCGTTGTTATTTACGTAGCCATTATAACTTTCCCCGTTGAAGAGTGATGAATGTCTATTATCTTTTCTTAAGCTTCTATAAGCCAAATCATCCGCTACTATATCAGGTGATCTTTTTGGTATAAATCTAGATCGTCCTTTGTTTTCTGGAGTTGCATGCAAATAATCACTTTGAGGGGCTGGCGAAACAGGACCAACAGGTATGCCAAAAGGTGGTTGTGGATCGATTGTTTTGAGCCGATTATTGGTTTGTTTAATATTTCTGTAAACAACGTCATCAAATACAACATCAGGTTCGTTTCGTTCTGAATGCCTGTCATCATCTGAAGCATAGGGCACATAAACTGGTGATGTTAACATGTAACTAATTTGTGCTTGCGCATCTTTACTATTGGATTTATCTTTGTTCGAAAATGAATTCATCCTTCTAAAAGCCATATCATCTTGCAATTTATCAGGTAATGTTGATCTACGAGATATTCGTCTTAATGGCGTAGAAGGCTGACTTCGTAATTGAATATCGTCGTCATTTCCATTCCAATCATTGTTGAAATGGTCGTAAAACTTGGGCGTCATTAATTCTCGACGCTCAGCTCTGTCTAATAAATCTTCATCACCTAACCCTAAACTATTGTATATTGCTTCAAGTTCATTTAAAGCATCATCAAGATTAGTAGACTTTCGTCTTTCAGAATTTTTTTCATCATCAGATGTCATTTGATATGTTCCTGAGACATATGTATCTGATTTGTGACGTGTATGAGTTTTAGGAGGAGACGAAGCTGTTTTCGAAGGCTCAACAGTAGTAGATCGTTTATATTCTGTTGTGGCTTTCCACACTTTCGCGCCGTCTATGATATCAATGGATTTACTTTTGTTAGATGCATCCATACTCTGTGTAGTGTCTCTATTTCTCCATGTACTTTTTTTTAGATCGTTCGTCGGAAATGGTCGACCCAATTGAGAAGTTCCTGAATATTCACTATTACTTCTCGAGTGTGCAAAAATATTCTGTTGCTTCCTTTGCTTTTCAGCATCGTCAATTTTTTTCCAAAATTCAGATGCATTTCTAGGTTTTTGTAACATTTTTTCATTTATGTCTCCAGAAACTTGCGAATCGCTTAAATATTGATTTTGATAACTATTTTGACTAGTCTTTATACTGATAGGTCTTCGCGATCTAGGACTTTGATCGGCATAGTACAGGTAGTCTTGCCTTAATTGAATAGGTTCTGGTTTTATTATACTATTTTGAGAAGTCTGTTTTCTCCACGGTGGACTATTTACAAAAAGACCATAATGATTAGGTTCTGCTGAAACTGACGCTGGCCTTCGAGGCTGTTCATTTTTAGGCACATAGTTCTGAACATTTTCATTGTTTTGCATGGCTATGTGGTCTTCTGAGTTTGATATAGGTCTTCGTAAGCCATTAAAGCCGTAATTTACTAATCTTTCTTGACTTCGCCTCATAATCCTTTCAAAATCATTATTTGGGACACCATGTTTTACATTATGGTTAATGCTTCGTTCAGCAGCTATAGGACAATTTTCATAATACATTGATAAAGGTGTAACGACTTTTCGATGCATATCACGAGGAGGCGGTACTGGTGGGGCTTTTTCTTCCTTTTTAATATTGGTAACATTTCCTAATGGAAATTTAACGCAAATAATACTTTCTGGGTTTTCATATTGGTTTGACACGCTGCTCTCTCTATTGCTGTTAGCATATAATGAAGTTCTGTTAATGTTGTTATTTGGATATTGTACGGAGTAATTAATGCGTTCATTATTAACTTTTGCATTAAAATTAATGGATGATGGGTAACTTTGAGTAGATGGAAAGGATGATACTGATTCAGATTTAAAAGGACGCCGGTTAGTATCATTCGTTGTTAGTTGTTCTGGCACTATTTTTGAAGTAGCTTCACGTTTACATGTGCCATAGCCACTACTCTGACTTGTTGGTGTCCTTGTAAGCAATTCCACTTCAGCCTTTGTGTACCCTTGTTGAAGTAGTTCTGCTTCTTTATTTAACTGATTTTCTTCATCTCGAGACAGACGTTTAATATATCTTTCATTTCGAGCACTCCTTGATCTTTTGTTTAGCGAACTATCACGTGACCTCATTAAAGACTCATCACTTCGAAATCTTATCATCGAAGAAGAATTTGAGGACGACTTTAAAGATTCTTCATCGCTGCTTGACTCTCCTTTCATACTGTTTCGTAAAGCTTCAACTCGTGCTTTCAATCTACTTTTTCTTTTCTTCCTTGACGGCATTTCAAAGATGCCTTTTCCAGATCGAGAAGCATCATCTTTAATTTGGATAGAATCCTTTGAAACACTGTATATTTCAGGATTATCAGCTTTGTACTTGATAAAGCCAGCTGAAGGATCTGATAAAACACCATCGTCGGCAACATCTCTGACAGTATTTGCTAGGCTTTGAGCCCTTCTGGTATCTCTGATCACTATGTGATCGAAATTATTGACAGCTGGTGTACGTTTCTTCTTTTTACTTTTTCTTTTCGATGGTGAACGATCTCCATCATCACTTTGTGATGATGTGCCACTATCCTCTTCCTTCTTTTTTCTTCGAAACAGTTTACCAATGGACCATTTCTTATCCTTTTTGGACCGTTCTACTTCTACTTCTGCTTGAAGTGGTCGGTCTAAATGACGTTGGACGGAGGTATATTCTTCACTGTAGGGCCGATACGCTGTTGCAGACGCACCGGAGATATCCCGATGGGGAACAGGCGGTGAATTAACAGTCTGAAATTGAAAAAAAATCTTATGTTATATTTTGTTAACGCAGAATTTTAATATAACTTAAAATGCGTATGTTTAAAATTTATAGATACTCTTCTATAAATTTATACAAGAATAAGCAACAACAGAGACGTACTATGTATTAGACATATAATTTATGAATAAGTTATATTTAATATATTTTTATGTACACATAACGTCTTTTTCAAATAATATATCTAGTATCTAACTATCTAACTAAACCGTCAACAATACGCATGACCAAGGACATTCATTTGGCAGAGTTTCAAAGTTATGAAATGTGCTTTTTATCTTTCGTTTGTGTGGTGTCAAATCAAGGAAGTAATTAAGCATGTAGTTTATTATATGATAATGGGGTCGTAGGTTCAAAGCCACGTTGCTAGATGAATGGCAAGCAGTTTTAACACATTTATGGAAAATGGTCTATAATTTAGTAGCTAAAAGTGGAAACTCTTAAATTTTGAGACAAAGATAGATTAAGTACCTACTAAACTTTTTTTTAAAATATTTTTTTGGTTGATTTAAACACTATTGTCCAGAATAGGATAAAAATAAATACAATATTGTAAACAAATTGTTACAATAAGTCGCATCATCATTCTGAATTATTATTGACGACGTAATCATTTTTCGGTACAATGTTTATGCCAATAAACTAATAATTCACTGTATTTAAACAAACGATAAACAATATTAATTAAGACTTGATGTAAGTATACAACTCAATGGATCTCTTAGTATGTATACATATATTTTTTAATCATTATAAAATTGTAAACATAGGTTTTCGTGTTTTATAATAAACATTTTATGTACAATTTCTTTCCCTATATTTACACAGCTATTAAACCTGTTTAAGGTTTATGTATCTTCTAAAGTGGCTTAAAGTTTAAGTATTAATATTCACATCGGCCAAATAAGTATTTTTGTATGTAGGGTATGCTAATAAAAATACTCGAAGTATTATATATAACAGAGCTATAGATGTTCTAGGTGGGAGACATTATCAGTGAAATATTGTTTATTTTTCAAAAAATTACCTCAATTTCTTTGTAATATATAAAAAAATAATATATAAAGTATAAAAATAAAACTTACAGGTAGAAATGATGCAAAATAGCTATTATTAGCAGTAGCTACTTCAAGCATAGCTACCATGTTTAAAGCATACACTTATTTAAAGCACATTAACGAATATATTCCCTCCCACACATGGCTTTTGGCACGAATATGACATTAATGAATTCACATTTAACTTCTATTATGAAGAAAAAAACACTGTACTTTATTTAGATTCTAAACAAAAACTTTCTATGTTCCGAAGCACTTACTATAATAACACACATTATGGAATTTTTATTTTAAATACTTAAAATTAACTTAAAAGGTTTGATTAATTTTAAGATTTTATGTTTCACTATAAATTATTTTCCCTATCATTAGTATTTATTTAATATATTTTATCTTATAATCTAAGACTGTTAGCGTGTAAAAGTATTTTTTAGTTGCGCGCGCGACGCGTGTGAGCTCTTTCGGACTTCGCGGCAACATCTGATTATTTCAGGCGACTGAATCAAAGGCCCGTTTATATTAACAAGATTTAGTTTGCCATATATTATCTACAGCGAAACAGAGATAGTAACGGCGCCGTAAAGTTTTTTTATTTGAGAAAAAAATTTATCTGAACATGTAAACGAACTTTAATTTTACATCCTTTGCTATAATAAAACAGTCGGCCGCTCTACAAATTTAGTTATTTATAAACTTAGATCGCATTATTTATTTTTTACCAAATGCAATTTCAAATCAGAACGTCCGGAATTCTTTTTACATGTTTTTTTAGTTAAGACTTTAAAAAATAAACGGTGACATAGTAAATGTTATTTGAGTGAATAAAATTCTGACTGAATTAAACAAACAACTTAAGGACGTCTTGACTAATGTCTGTTAGGAACTTACATTTGTCTTGTAGACTTAAGCGATATAAATAGAGATACATGTTGATTTTCATTTCGCGCAAGCTTATTATATACTAATATTATAGAGGTAAAGTTTGTGAGTTTGTGATGTTGTAGGGGTAAATCTCTGGATCTACTGAACCGATTTAGATGAAATTTGGTAAGAAGATAGTTTGGGATCCTAGGAAGGACATAGGATACTTTTTATTCCGAAAATCCTTCCTAAAGGGGTGAAAATGGGGATGAAAGTTTGTATGGGGAATCAAGCTAGGGACGAACCCGAGCGAAGCGAGGACGAGTCGCTAGTTTTCTATTAAAGACAAAGACCATATTTCTATAAACTCAGTGACTCTCCTCTCCCTTAGTCATTTAAGTCTTTTAGTTTTTTATTTTCTGACTAATACGATAAGGTGGTTACTAGTTGTCAGTTGACTAGTTTGTCCTTTTGGTATATATACCAAAGCTATAGCTAGGTGTACAACAATGTAATTGTACAGAGCTAGGTTATATAGGTTTGTGTGGTGGATACTTACCACATCGATACTATTTTTTACCCCAGTGCATAGTTACCGTGGGGGACTATATTGCAAAAAGCCATTAAAGAAGTATAGTTTAATTAAAAAAAAAACTTAAAGTTTTTAAGTAAGTGCTTGTGTTTTTGTTATTTCTTCACGCTGTGTCAACGCATCTGTGACGAGCAGTTGAGATTCCACATTGGCAATACGAAATTAAAAATGAAATACTATCTTAAAAAATAACAAACTTCTACACAAACTTTCACCTCGTCTTTTAGTAAATAAAAAAAAAATATATCTAAATTATTATCATCATGTCCTATAAATAACCTGTACAGGTTTCCAGATGCAGCTGTGAGTCTGTATGTTTGTAAATTTCATTATTATTATTATTAATAAATAAATATGGCACTCAATTATTATTTTTTTAAAATACTATGAAACGAATCTCCTTAATTAAATTAACCTACATCACTATGCAATCTAATCGGGCCGCCTCACACGCGCAAACGTATTAAGTCTTGACCACAGTACTTAATTAAATAAAAATAAACTCCACTCTCGAGAGTTCTAACTCATTTAAAATCGGACTTAAATTGTAATTGCTTATAGAAGGCTTGTAGAATTAACAAAATAAAATTTCTATTTGAAACGTTTTAAAGCAAATTACTTTACTGATTACTTTCATTGCTCCTATACATACATAAATTACATATGTATATTGTTACGCCAATTTATTTTCGCCTTATATTTTTACTCGGAGACTATAGTATTATGTGTATTCAGCCCTTTTTAACGTCCCACTGCTGGGCACGGACCTCCTTTCAGTACGAGGGGGATCAGGCCATGGTCGACTACGCTGGCCAAGTACGGGTTGGCGGACTTTACATGTCTTTTGAAAACTTGCTAGGTTATCTCAGACATGCAGGTTTCCTCACGATTTTCTCCTTCACCAATAAGACAAGAGGTAATCATGTTGGAAATGATTCGCACATGAAAATATCAAAGGTGCGAGACCCGGCATTTGAATTCGCTTCACTCGGTTTCCCAAGCGAGCGCGTTACCACTGGGCTACCACTGCCTATATACAATATACATACTGGTATATGGAGCAAATATTTGGAAGGTAGGTGTCTCATGAGAATCACTAAACAATAATGTCATCAAATTAAGAAAAATAATGAATAGGCATAGTACCTACTCGATACATGTAATTACTTGTATTACTTAGTGCATTTACTTAAACAACATTGACTTAGTGAATGTATTAATAGACTATACCTGGTTTGCTCTTCAAAGAACTAAGTTCCATTTAACGGAACATTGCCATTTCTAGAAAACTCTTTCTAGAACACTCTACCTATATTTTTTTAAATCGCAAAATGCCTTTGAGGCTTTGACATTTATAAAGAACAGTCGAGGCGATTAAGAGGTATTGTTTGTTTGTAGCGCCAAAAGATTTATACATATTCTAAATAATATTTAATGTACCTAGTATATAACCTAGATTTTAGAATAATATTTAACAGTAGGTATCTTTTTCCATTTCAATCTGATATATCTTATAGGCATCAGTTTATTTTTCACAGTATTGTAAGGTTGTATTCATTGAAATTAGTTTGGATAGGGCAGGAAGAACTAGTGATAAATGGGGTGTATTTATTACGATCTGTTTAGTCACGTATCAGAAAAGTCAGGGCAGTTCGGTAGTTATACATATATGTATAATTCCATATAATTATGTATAAAATTGAAAGGAACACCTTAGCCATTTATCATGTTATGCGTATTATAAAATATAAAAAAAAAGTTTTAACGTTTTTATTAAATAAACTTCTTATGTAAATATCTCCAAATACTTTTACAAATCTCAGTCAACATCTGTAATGAAGATGGAAGCTTAAACCGACTGTCACATAAAAAACCATTAATTATCCGTAACAACAATGGCCAGTGCCATATATCTTTATTTTTAAACGAGATGGGACTTCCGTCTTCTTTGATACAGTCCCATGTTCAGAAATGTCAAGCGTGTTTATGCGTTTAGCCATACGTGACAGACAGTCGACGCAACTACGCGTATCCGGTGTGAAATATGCTTTATTTATGACAATTTCACGCGTTGAGATATGGATGTTTATCTCTTTATATTTATAAATAATAAGGTTAATGATTGACCTCGTTGATAATATGCATAATATGATAAAGACAATCCTTTTAAACTTTTAAATTCTTAATAAGAGATAAGGTTCCTTTTACATTTTATATTTTTTTTTATAACTAGCAAACCACCCTGGTTTTGTCATACGTGGCTTGACAGATCTACACAGAAGTATACATAGTTTATTTACTAGTTTTACATGAACTGGGTATATAGACTAAGAAGACATTTCAAACTATCTGTTATAACTTTGAATTTGACATTTATCGTTCGTTTACGGTAGATATATGTAGATCCACCAAAATTTTGCACTGACTGTAATCCACACTTTTTTATATATAAAATATTTTATTTTAGTTTTAGATTATTATATATTTGTACTAATGACACGCCTTTGCTTTGCTTGGTAAGTCCCTAGATTTATAATATTTTAGGGTTGAAAACTTACAAGAGTAATAAGCTTAATTAATAAAATACTACTTTTAGATAATGTTGGTTTTCAATTAAAAAAAATTGTAACTAAGGTAAATAGTTTAGAAATTTATCGATAACAAACAAATCTTTCCTCTTGATAATATTAGTATAGAAAAGTTTTGTAATACATATATCAATATTTAAATCATGAAAAACTCTTAAAAAAGCAATTTAATTATCATTATTCACAATATTTCATAGAACTCATCAGAGAATCCAGAATGCTCATCTACTTTAAGCACACACGCGGTATTGAATTCAGAAGAGGACAAATGCTGAGTATTTAAATTAATTTTCAAGGAGAAAAAAGAGAAAAGAGAAAAGTTAGGTACTTAACAGCTTTGGTATTATTACTTTTGTCGTTGTCCATTTATATATAGATACTTTTATGATTTTATTAATATAACTACAACATATAAAACAAACAACATTTGTAGGCTAATGAATACAATAGCAATTATACAGGTTATGTATAATTTTAATCCTTAGTAAGGAAAGGCACAGATATACATATAGGTCGAGACTATAGAGAATCTCTTAAGAAAATATAACATTCTTTACTTTATAAATTATAATATATATTGCGTGTATTACAAATGTGCAGAAGCGTCATTACCTATCATTACACTGTCATTTCCTAGACCGTAGTCCGCCAGCATTTCATTCTTCATGTCATTACTTGAATGCTTGTGCAATGTTTTTGTTTGTGCAGTTTACATGCCGTTTGCTGCGCAGATAACATTACTTTTAGCTTTCTATTGAACTTAGCGTATTTACTGTTAAGTATTTACTTTCTTTGTCTTTTCGCACTTTTCTAGGAGGGAGATTGAAGTGATTAATGATTTCGCATTTCGTTGGTTTAGCATCGTCGCGTTTGTTCAACCGACTTCGAAAAAGGAGGAGTCTAATGGCCGATTTCACCAACGTCACCTAAGTTTCAAGGATCCTCTAAGCATGGTTAGAGGGCTGTTAGGGGACAGTTTCTGTTTCACCGACAGTTAGGGGTCACCTAAATATTAAAAGACCCCCTAAATTTAGGTGTTCGAAATA